ATTCACATTAATCTCATGACTGTCTGCATTGATCAAGCTGATAGTGATAATATTCTGCTTTTATAATAATTAGCATTTATTACATCTACAATGTCTCTAAGCAAAGATATATTATTACCCCGGTCATCGGATTCAGGCTTCCCCGCACACAATGTATGCACTAGTGCTGTAGTCAAACGTTTAACCTCCTGGTATCCGACCATCCATGGCACTATTTTCAATTTTCCCATTTTCAATTGGACGGTTTTGTTTTCCCTTTTTTTTAAATTTTTTTTTTATAAATTAAAAAAACACAAATAATGTACATAATTAGAAACAAAATCACTTAAACAAAAACAAGTTTGGGCGACATTATATTCATCATAAATAAAGTCGGCCCTGACTGTTGAATGTTGAATTGCAGAGCAACAATCTACATGATAACAATCAATTGCAAGATTGTAGATTGAGAAGTTGACTCGTAAAACTAAGTTCCCAGCCTTGAAATACATGCACAATTCTTCACTGATGCCATTTAAATCCCAAATCCTGACCTCTGCAATATCACGATCGTCGGCTATAAACATGAATACATGGTACTACAATGTAGTACCGTCTTGCCAAAGGATGTTAGTGTCGAGCTGGGATTTGAACCCTGTACCTTGTGATCTGCGGTCGAGTGACTTATCCACTAGACCAAAACACCTCTATGAAAGCCCTACTCGAGCTTGAATCAGATAAAAACATGAAATGAAATTATATTTCAATGTCAATTTATTTTTACAATTCAATAATACAATTCTGTAACGTATCAGTATTTCTTGGGATTTGCCCAACCAAGTAGCAGAACCAGTTGAAAGGGTAAGATGCACTTAGCCATAGTGCATCCATACTGTAACCATGTTCATGTCATGTCACTCTACATGAGGAATTCATCACGACATGTGAGATGAATTCATCCCTAATCAAATCATTCTGAATTAATGAAATTGGCCCCATCTGATCAACTCACCAATTTGATTTAGAATGATTGTATTACTACTAGCAGAGGTCAGATCAGTCTGGTATCTTCATTGATACTGATTTGTTTGTTTTAGCCTCATATCGTAGGTTAGTTTGATTTGGGCCAATGCCGTGTTCACACGGGTGAGGCCACGTGTACTGGATTTGTGTTGTTTCAGGACTCAGTGTGAATAGGCCAATGTTGTTGGGGGGGGGGGGGGGCCTTGATTTAAATGGGGACGGTGCTGGGTTCACATCGAGTAGATGTATGAAGGCTATTAAACCACTTACTGGATTTGTGTTGTTTGAGGTCTGTCTGAATTAGATAAGTGCTGTGTTTCTACTGAGTACATTTAGATGTAATTTATACTGATTTGTCTGTTGCAGTGCTGTCTTTGTCGAACCAATCCTATGGGCACACGTGTATGGCATGTATGCGTCTGCACGTACAAATGGATTTTAAACAGATTTGTTTGTTTTTAGGTTTGTGTAAATTGGGCCAGGGCTGTGTTCATATTACCTACATGTGTACATTGTTCATTGTTCATTGTACATATATACTGTACATGAAGTTTAAACTTATCTGTTTCAATGCTGTCTGCACTGGGCCCTATTCTGTGTACAGCATTGTCAAAGTGCTTTTTAATGTGCAAATGCGATGTCAAATTTCTGCAATATACATTTTAACTGATTGTAGTTTTTGGGTGTTTCACGTTGTTTGTACCAGTACATGTATATATTTCTATATATCTCTCTCTCTCTCTCTCCTTTTTTCTTTCCTCTTTCTTTGTATCTTTCTTTCTTTCTTTTTTTTCTTTCTTTTTTTCCTTCTTTTCTGGACCCCTTTAAAGCTATTAGCTGACAAGGGCAATCCAACCCATGAACGGTGAATAAATAAATCATATATAGAGTCAAATTCTTTCTCTCTTTAAAATAAAAACATATGATAGCTTTTATTTTGTGTTGTCTAATGATGTACAGTATGTAATCTCTATTCCCTCAGAAACATTGTAACTTCATTTTGAAATTACCGTGATCTATTTAAAGTCACAAATTGCAGTGCAAACACTCTAGTCAGTGCATGCATGAGCAGCAAAAGGCATTATTGAATGGTCAATATTGACACGATCAATTAACCAATGTGCACCAAGTTTTGCTACAAATGTACATATATGATTGAGCAAAGGAAAATGCTAGTTACCGGTATGTAAACAGTCAGACTGGATTTTTAGCATGCAATTAATGATGAAAAAAGGAGAGAACTTGAAGAGAAAAAGAAAGAAAATAACACAAATAGATGACATACCCCACCCCCACAGTCTCACCTCAATTAATGATCTACTTCATGTATTTAACCCTTCCAATGCCACACACATGATGTACCTGTGCTATATTGTATTCATCATCCTTAGGGAAACTGTCAGTTATAATGCAAAAATGCTTCAGGATTATTAAAATGTTTTCAGTGCAAGATTAATCCATACTGGTGTTCGAAAGATTGTCATCGAGCTAAGCAAGACCATAAATGAGTAATTTGCAAAGCAATTGTGTTGCACAAAGCAATCCTCCCTACTCTTTTGTGCAAAACTGCATGTGTGGCACACAAGCGACCCTGCAGAAAGGCAACAAGCTACCGAAGTGTTAATCTAATTCTGCGTAGTAATATCAGTGTGCCTGTAAACAAGCTGTGATGAAAAATTAGAAGTGAAAGCTATCATTCATGTAGCTAAAGAGAACATCCCTCTTTTGAAATTCTATTATTTCCTTTTCACATATATTCCCAGTCTTTTCCCAATCTAAAACCTTTGATGAACATTGATGTAACCTTAAACTCAAAATCTCAATATCACTTACATGTATGACATCCAGATCTAGGACAGCATATTTACATGTAGTGGCACGCTTGCACGCCTGAACATTTCATGAATATTAATCTGGCATTTACCATTTATATGAAATGAATCCTTATTTCTTGGACCTCTCTGTGGTTTTGATTTCCAATTGTGAGTGGATCAAACTGTTTTGAATTGCTATGAAATATATTCCCATGTCTTCGATTTTTCAATTGAATCAATATTGGAGTAGTTAGGTTTGATGTTATTGTAGGGAGCTAGTCTGTGTGTGTCATGTTCCTAATTTGACAGTTGATTGAATCGCTATGGTAACTCCTCCGCCTCATGGAATCAGATGTAATGTCTTTCTATACCCTCACAGATTTCATCAAGATATTACCTTTCTCTCTGTCTCTGTTTCACTGTCTGTCTGTCTGTCTGTCTGTCACTCTCTCTTGCTTTATCTGTGTCTTGGACTAATACCCTCTCTTTTTTCTGTGTCTGACAATTTTTTTCTTTTTCTGTCTCTTCTGTGTCTTGTCTTTCTTTATCTCTCCATATTTGTTTGTCACTCCCTTTCTTTTTGTCTCTCTGTCTCTCTCACTTTCTCTAACAGGATTGCCAAGATTTATTAGAAACATCAACCTAATGCAAATGCTAAGTGCGAACATTATATATCACATGTCATCCTAATACGATTTCTAGTTTCTAGTTTCATGCAGGATAAGATACAGAATGGTATTAAAATTGTCCCTGATTATATTTTTCAAAAGACGTTGGTGATCATGTAGTTTTCTCTGTCCCCTTCTCTCTCTGTCCCTATCCCTCCCCTCTCTCTTTTTCTCTTTCTCTCTCTGTCTCCCCCTCCCTTGCTCTGTCTCTGTCTCTCTCTCTCCTCCACTATCTCTCTCTCCTCCACTATCTCTCTCTCTCTCTCCCTCTCTATCTCTCTCCCTCTCTATCTCTCTCTCCTCCACTCTCTCTCCCCTCTCTCCCCTCTCTCCCCCTCTCTCTTTCCTTCTCTCTCTTTCCCGCTCACTCTCTGTACTCATTTGATATTGCAAAAACTGCAACTATTTAAAAATCATATTGGTCTGACGATTCCTTCAAACTCTGAACGATACCACTGTCTTTCTGGAGCCCCTGTCATCGGAAGTACACTTCCTTGCCTTTACCATCTTACTACAAAGGTTTATTTATATTCAAAGAACAAACCTTGTTTAATTATTTCCTGAGAGACAGGATACCCTTCTGACTTGAATGCTATCTTGTTTATCAGACTATCAAATCACCATGGTAACGCCTTGATATAATGATGTATAAGAGAAGCCAATGTAATCCCCTCCCACTCAAGATCTTGCTCTGTATATTGAAGAATGAATTTCATTTTGCAGCATTGTAAATCAAGATGGTTTAATATTAAAGCTTCCTGTCAAACTATTGCATCCAGTATTTTGCTTCTATCTATTTATTTCTTTCGCTCTCCACCTTTGACAGACACTCTGGCCCGAATTCACAAAGGAGGTTTGTATAGACAAACCTAGGTTTAAGTGCGTCATATGACGTGTTTGTCTGAACCTTGGTCTGAAACGCATCGAAACGCGTCATATGACGCACATAAACCTAGGTTTGTCGACAAACCTCCTTTGTGAATTATGGCCTCCGTGTTCCTTTTACCATTCATTATGACCCTCATGTAGTGTTAAGTTTGTACTCCCATTTTTTATAGGCTTCATATAAATGTAGTTGTTCAGTCAAACTGTCTATAGCAACCACCCAAGGGAAAGACAAAAATGTCCTTTGTAGACAGGTAACTTTTGTTCATGTTTTAATGACAAACCATTTTCAGGGGAATAAAAAAATGTGGTCTTTGTAGGCAGGTGGTCACTAAAGCAGGTTTGAATGTACCAGGTTTTGGAATTATAGAGCCACTATTATTATTATCGTCACTGTTTTCACAAAGTGACGGTAGTGAAAAAAAATTGCATTCACTTTGCGTTACGATTTTCCTCACTACCGTCACTTCGTGAAAACAAGGACGTTATTATTGTCTGTTATTGTGTATATTGTGTGAAAAGAAATGAAAAATAAATTTGCTCTGTATAGAGCTACTACTACTACTACTACTACTACTACCTTTTGTAGAAATAACCATTCATGATGATATTTTTTCCTTCTGTTTTGCAGTTTTGTGAATCGCTATGGCAACCCTTGCAGACCGTAGCGGTAGCTTTAGCGTCGTATGCAGAGGGGTATCAGAAATATGAGGGTCCCTTCTCAAGAGTAGCATCATCGTTCTTCCACAGGTAAAAGATTTACAATTCACAACTAATTTCACCCGGGCCCTGTAACATAAAAACCGACACACAATCACTTATCAGTCATTATTGTCTTGTTTCATATAAACCAACGAATCCGCCATATGTACAGTCAAACCTGTCTATAGCAACCGCCCAAATGAAACACACAAAGTGGTCTTTGTAAACAGGTTCCTTTAGTTTATGTTTCAAGGAGAAATCGTTTTCAAGGGAAACCAAAAATGTGATCTTTGTATACAGGTGGTCACTAAAGCAGGTTTAACTGTATTACTACATGGATTCGTCAGGGCAATTGTCGATGACGAATTGTATCCTGCCGTGCATTGTACCTGTATCTGTCTGTAATATAAAATTGATCGTCAATTGTAAATTTATGATTGGCTGAAGGAGATACAATTAGTCATGACATATTCAGAGATGCCAACCAGTAGGATTAAATCTTATTTAGTACGATAATAAGAGTGAAATATGATCTCGAAATCTTAAAATACAATTTTTCATCTTTCCCCCCCCCCCCAAAAAAAGTTATTTTTTAACCCATAAAAATAGTGGAATCACATAGAAACATGTACAAGTAAACCCCCACAACCCCAACACAAACTTTGCTTTGAAATTTTCTCATTATATTTTAATGAAAGAGCAAAAACATTTTCCTGAAATTTTACTGATATTTTAGGATAGTCAGTCTGTTTTTTTTGTGTCAAGAGGTTGGCATCTCTGCATTATATGTTCCAGAGCCCTGATGTCTTTAGATTGCACAGCTGACGATTTATATAATTCTACTGTTCCAACAAGTCCTCGATCATATCAGATTTTCATGAATAAAAAGACACACAGATTGCATGCATACTTTGTGACATTAAATATATTGGTAACATTTACAGACTAAACAAAATGTTCTTTTGTTATTGTCTCTGTAATATGTACAGTAATGAATTTTCATAGACAAAGTGCTGTATGTTTTAGATGTCGTGTACAACTGTATCAAAGTTTCAATGCCAATTATGTCAGTTCTAAAATTTGCACAGTGATCTAAAGCAAGAATATCAAATTTTACACAAGATACATGTAGAAACAAATAATTACTGTAAATTTGTGATATACACTTGTATGAATAAAGGGTACCAGTACACAGTCAGAATGTTAAACCAGTCTGCATAATCATGCATTTACAATGTTGTACACATTAGCATACAACGTCCACTTGTTAAAATTACATTTACATGTACACCTTACTTTATCAGATTCAGGCCAAGACAATCAAAAAGGTAATGCTAATATACATGTATAATGCTTACCAATTACATATATACTCCATTCTACTTATGATGGTACAGGGTGCAGCATTCAAAGGGCAATCCAACTGTTATGAAAGCAGAAAATAAAGAGAAACAGAGAGGAGAAAGTTTGAAACAAATTGGACCAATAATAAGAGAGTTATGAATGTTTTTAAAGGTAAAGACCAGTTATGGTCATGCGATTGCATTGTGAAAGAAACGTTGTGGAATCGATCAGAAAAGGTTGATCATCTAGCATCTAGCATCTGCAAGGTTCTGGAATCATCAAAATGATAAGAAATTTGGCCCATTCTTCGTAAAGTTACAAGCACTATACACAGAAAGATGTATATGGGACTACCCTATATCTCTCACAGACCATGAGAGAGACAAATTTACCAAATATATGAATTAGTAGGCGGTTTCCCGGCAAATTTTTTATCATCATGTATTAGTCAAAACATATTCTTTCACATGATTGGTAATGAGAGCTTCCATTTCATTTTTTGAAATTGGGGCATTTCCAATACTGGTCTTTACCTTTAATATGAGATCACTAGGTGGATGTGATTCTCAAATTGGCAATTTGGTCAGTGGATTGTGACGTAGTCATAGACAGCTATATCATTTGTCATGTACAAATATATCAATCATTTCCAAATTCTCCTAAGCGCCTTCTTTCCTTGGGCACTATTAATTTTTTTGTTAGGAAGTGAAAAAACAAAAACCCTCCTGAGTTTTATGTTTTGAAAACTTGGTGTTTTATTTATTTTGTGTGTGAGAACAAATGGGAAAGTTGTCCGGCACTACATGCAGTATCATACCAAATTGAAATTCCCGTAAATAATGATCACAACATGTAACAATTAACAACTTTCTTATTTTCTGTTTGATTTCTTTCAAACTTTCACGAGTCTGCGTCTCTGATATTCTGCTCTCGTAAAAAATATTTTCTATAATTACGGTTGGATTTTCCTTTATATGTTAACCTGAATCCCACTAAAATTGTTAGTTTACACTTGTAGAGTTCTGTATTGAATATTCTTTTCAACTGGACATTAATACTCCACACGTTGCATTATATGGAATAGGCATATTATTAAAAAAACTAATCCTTATTATGAGTATTATGGGCTGTATTGGAAATATCAATTTAACCAACTCTGTGTTCCTTGGTGGTACATGTATATCCCTTAACAGAATTAGAAAACTGTACTCTTATGTTATCCTTTTTTCTTTTTGTAATCTGAATACAATAGGTGTGAAAAGTTACATGAAAAGTTTACCCCATGCTAGTTATGGTCAAAGTAACTGTGAAAGTGATGAAACAGAAAGAAAAGAAATCAGAATTAATACACTATAGTGGCACATTCATGTTTAATATTATTTAAAAACATTATTTTAAAACCTTATAGGCCCGAATTCCCTAAGAAAGTTTAAATTTAACCCATGGTTTAAATCTTCATTTCACATAAACCCATGGTCTAAAATTAGCGCAAGATATAAAGCGTACCTTGCCTTGCACATATCTAATGTCAGACCTCTGATTGTGTATGCGTTGAATTACATGAATTTTAGACCATGGGTCATGTAAATGAGGATTTAAACTATGGGCTACATTTAAACCTCCTTCGTGAATTCGGGCCTAGTCGCCTACATTGGTTGTATATGATCCACGTTACACAGCATGCATGAGCAGATAGAGGAATTAATCCATACTTGATCTGATTGTCTTCAGTTGCTAGACATACATGTACGTCTGGTCAGAGTCAGAAGGCTGTTTCTCCTGTGTTAAAGTACGAAGCTTTTCGCACCTGTCTACATTTGTAGATACCTGTAGTATATCATTTTACATTTTATTAAATTAAATATCATTTTTTTAGATCTTCTAAAGTAAAAACAATTGCAAGTGTTTGATCTTGATATCCCTTTGAAAATGAAGCTTTTTATTGATTGGCTGATTTTTGTTTTCTTTAAATGATTCCATTACAACTTAAAATAATTACAATATTGCAATTTCTATTCTGTAGAAATGCTCAAAGGTGTTCCTGATTTGAGCTCATGTACATTTATGTGTAGGTCACAAAAAGTACAGCAAAACAATAAATATCGGCTATTTCCCCCCAAGTTTCCCTGCTTATTATATTGCTACTCTCTGAAGTATATCAATATACAATATAAATTAATATTTATCAATATTTTAGATACAATGCATGCTTTATTTTACTTTCTCAATCAATTTCATTATTAGAACGTGTATTCATTATTGTACATGTTTATGTATTGGTGAACTAATTACTTGTAGACTAGAGTAATGGTATATTAAGTTCGGTTTGCTTTATATCAAAATAATTTGTTTACTAACATGAAATATTGTGAATTTTTCATAGGAGAGAAAGAGAGGGGGATTTTCTTGGATCACTATTAAAAAAACTTTGCTTAAAGGTAATACAAAGTTTTGGGAAATTTTGGAAATGGCCGGATAGGGATTCTTTACAATTTTGATATATTTGGATGCCCCTGTGGATGTATTATAAGCACCAGAAACTTTAGCCCCTAAAACTCTTCTGCTTTTGAGAAAAATTGAATATAAAAATTTATCGGTGCTCCCGGTAAATTTTGATAAATTTCGAATAGCGAATACAGCCGTATAATGGTAGCTGCGACCATGAAAATCTCAGAATATGTAGTTGTGATATATAATTTCCAAACAGGAATAGCTAATCGGTCGATTTTAGTCAAGAAACATTGTTTTATAGCTTAATTGATATATTGACCTTGAGAGGGAGCTATACAACATAAACAGTTTATTATCTAACATTTCACAACTTTAGACTCGATTTCGACTGCGACAACGATCACTGTATATTGTAGGATCGCATAATTATGCTTCCAATATGTTCATTTGAACCAAATTCATGACCCCATACCAAAACTTTGTAATACCTTTAATGTGGTCTGTGAAGGTATTCATGATGAGAAATGATACAGTAATATATAAAATAGAAACAAAGAATGCATGGACATTACTAACAGTTACATTGCAAACACAACAACCTACACTGTTATTATATTTCTAAATTGGCAGATGATAGCACTAAACTCATGACCACATTTGGTATTTTCATTCTCGGTGTTGGAGTTTGGTGAATTCTAATAAAATTATAAAGCTCTACCAGTGCTATTGAGATTAAGGAGGCTGTATTGTAACACATCAGTTTGGTAGCTAAACACAGCACCCTAAAACGATGGTGTTAGCAGCATTTTTGATAAAGGAATAAAATATACTAACCAAATTGATGATCCACCACCATTACAAAAAGTTATTACACTTTCACTCAAGCCTCATCAGCCTTATACATGTACATAAGATATATCATTAACACTACACTGGACGCTAAACCACCTTTATTGTGTCAATTTGTACAATGGGATTTATTATTTAACACTAACACCTGACACCACACAAGCCCCCTTATCTATGAAAATTAACATTGGGAGCTACATGTATATATCCTAACACTTGAATATCATTAACACTAACACCCAACACTACACAAGCCCCCTTCACTGTGTCAAATTGCACCACTTTCTGGTGCTTATTTCTTTCTGGTTTTTAGCGGCAGGTACCTGACGAATCCCGAAGCGAGAGGCAAGCAGATCTTAGACATCACCAATAAGTCGGACATCAGGTTCTGCAAAGCATTCTGGTCCATCACCGAAGGAGATGTCATTGCTGTAAGTAAAATTCTCATTATTATTTCAGCCGTCTCTAAACCGAATTTGAAATTATTTTGTGTAGCGCCCTCTGCAACAGAACTCAACTATCCCTTTCATATAAATTATTGAATGTTTATGGGAGTGATCGGTTGTTTGTTCCAGATTACGTAGACGGACAATTTATATATTCTGAAGATGGGACATCAGAGCGTATGTGGAGGCACATGGGACTAGGAATTATAACAAGTAGCAAACGGTAATCACGCTCTTTGGAGAATACAATAACCTGATTTGTATGGTCTATGTAACAAGGAAAAGGACAATTCACTTGAGACAAGATGTTAATATGAATTATTGAATATTTATGGGAGTGATCAGTTGTTTGTTCCGGATAACATAGAGGGACAATTGATATATTCTGAAGATGGAAAATCACACTGGATTTCGGAGCACATGGGACTAGGAATTAGTCTTTGGACAATATAATAACCCAATTCATATGGTCTATGTAACAAAGAAAAGGCCTTTTCACATTGATAACAAAATATGAAGGCAAAAAACAAAATATTCAGCAATAGCTTTTTATGTGACTAACCCGGCCTACTCTTTTACATGGACAAGAGGAACAAATCAAGCAATTCCCTGAATGCCTTACTAGTCGAGGAGATTGTCAGATTGCCTGTGTTTTGAGTATTAAAGTTAAAGTTGAGTTCTGGTCATGCGATTGCATTGTGAAAGAAAAGGTGTGGAATGGATCAGAACAAGTTGATCATGTAGCATGTAAGTATTGGTGTGTACTGCAAGGTTCCAGAGTCATCCAAATCATTATAAATTTAGCCCAGTCTTGGTAAAGTAACAAGCACTGTACACAGAAAGATGTATATGGGAATACACAAATGGTGTTGGGGCTACTTACCTTGATTTCCTTATCTTGATTTCCTTATCTTTCTACATGTATGGTCATTATTCAGCCAGTATACATTTCTACCTTTACCAAAATTGTTTGGCAAATGACATTTATTTGTAATCTTGAACATTCAGTGTAACTTTCGTTTGATTCTTTGAGGATTCATTTTCTTTTCTTTTCACCAGAACTTAAGTTTATCTTTAATGTCTCTGAACAATACAAGTTAAACCATTTCATCAAACGAACATCTAGCTGATTGAATCATTATATCAAAAGTTCAAACAGAATCTAGAGCACTAACTCCCCTGTGTATTAATACTGCTCACCTACCGTCGTCCACTTCATAACCTTGCCCCTCCTTCACTCCTCTTCAACTATACATTGTAGTTATTCACCCTGAACCCTCATCCACCAACCACTGAAATGAGTCCTGGAAAACCGCGTGAGAACACCATCAGCAAGTGTGTCATGTGATGACTTAATGACGTATCTCATACAGCGTGTTTCTGTTAGTTATACTGAATTTATCTGTTTAAAATGTTTTCCAGAAAATAGCGTATGATGCCAGGGAAGGGCAGTTTCTATCAACGCGCATTATCTGGATAAATACACTGCTCCGATTACGCGGGTGAAAACTAAAAGGCCATGAATAAAGTTTCATTGAACTCTGGCTAAGGTCACCACAAAGTATTGTGGGACTGCTAGGTCAAACTGGGATTTTAGTTTCGTGCGCGTCGGGGTAAATATTCCGATCACGTGATCACTCCGATTTTCGGTTTCTCTCCGTTATGTGCACTCAATTGGAACGGGGTGTGTTTCTACCTACGTTATCCAGTTAGCTTCCCCTGCATTATCCTTCTAAAAGAAGAATAATTTTGCTCGTGAACGCGTCACAGCTCTCACAGCCATTATCCGGATAATGGCGGAGAAAGTGAGTTTCTATTAGGCAGAATTTATCCCTTATCGGCCATTAACCGGATAATGGCTTCTAATAGAAACATGCTGATAGTCATACAGTAAATCATAAACGTACAACAGGTTTATGAGTAAACTGAGGACAGTGACTGATCAAAATACATGACAGCTGACTTCACAATGATGCAAAGTGATGCTTACACTGCTTTTGAGTCTTTGAGTGGACCCCTTTGAAAATTGTGGACCCCTTTGAAAATCAAGTTAAGTTGAAAGGGCAATCCACCCCACATGTGGAAATAAATAAATAAAAAAAAAAAGTCTTTGATGATTTCTTTAATGATTTTCCACAAATCTTAAAGAACCCAGAACAAAGAGGAGATGGGATGACTTTGGATTCTTTGGAACTCTAAAATTGCTCCAAAGAAAGTTGAAAACCTATTTTATGTCAAAAATAAAAATCTTTCACTTTATTTCCATAATTATTTTTCTGATTATTATCTATTGTTATCTGAATTTTCTTAACTGTTATTCACATGTTTTTGAACATTCCTTTTGATGGATATGAGTGCATTTGCTATTATTATTATTATTATTTTCATAACTACTATTAGTATTGTTATTATTTTTATGCCTCCGTTACGAAGTAGCCGGAGGCATTATGTTTTCGGGTTGTCCGTCCGTCCGTACGTCCGTACGTACGTACGTACGTACGTACGTCTGTACGTACGTACGTCCCGTTCTCGTGATCGCGTTATCTGAAGAACTGGTTGATGGATTCCTGCCAAACTTTGGTCATGTATGTATCTTGTAGAGCCGATGAACTGATTAGATTTTGGGGTTACGAACTCAAAGGTCAAAGGTCACAGGGCTCATTATGTATGCAAAACGAGCTCGTGATCGCGTTATCTGAAGAACTGGTTGATGGATTCCTGCCAAACTTTGGTCATGTATGTATCTTGTAGAGCCGATGAACTGATTAGATTTTGGGGTCACGAGGTCAAAGGTCAAAGGTCACAGGGCTCATTATGTATGCAAAACGAGCTCGTGATCGCGTTATCTGAAGAACTGGTTGATGGATTCCTGCCAAACTTTGGTCATGTATGTATCTTGTAGAGCCGATGAACTGATTAGATTTTGGGGTCACGAGGTCAAAGGTCAAAGGTCCCAGGGCTCATTATGTATGCAAAACGAGCTCGTGATCGCGTTATCTGAAGAACTGGTTGATGGATTCCTGCCAAACTTTGGTCATGTATGTATCTTGTAGAGCCGATGAACTTATTAGATTTTAGGGTCACGAGGTCAAAGGTCAAAGGTCACAGGGCTCATTATGTATGCAAAAACGAGCTCGTGATCGCGTTATCTGAAGAACCGATTGATGGATTGCTGCCAAACTTAGGTCATGTATGTTACTTGCAAAGCCGAAAAACTGATTAGATTTTGAGGTCACGAGGTCAAAGGTCAAAGGCCACAGGGCTCATTATGTATGCAAAACGAGCTTGTGATCGCGTTATCTGAAGAACCGATTGATGGATTGCTGCCAAACTTAGGTCATGTATGTTACTTGCAGAGCCGATGAACTGATTAGATGTAGGGGTCACAAGGTCAAAGGTCAAAGGCCACAGGGCACATTATATATGCAAAAACAGCTCGTGATCGCGTTATCTCAAGAACCGATTGATGGATTCCTGCCAACTTAGGTCATGTATGTTTCTTGCAGAGCCAATGAACTGAGTAGATTCTTGGTTCATAAGGTCAAAGGTCATGGGCTCATTATGTATGCAAAAATAGCTTGTAATCACAATATTCTGAGAACCTGTTAATGGATTACAATTGAACTTGAATTCGAAAAATTTCTTCTGTTTTGGTTTGTAAAATTGCTCTATGACGGAGGCATCATTTTCGACTGCGCGCAGTCGAAGTTCCATCTAGTTTATTACTACTATTATTGTTATTATTATTACTACTATCATTATTGTTGATATTCTTCTTAGTATTACAACTATTACAACTATTATTATTATTATTATTCCGGGTACATGAATCTATCATCCAGTTGGAGCCAACAAGCTGCTGACTCTGTGTAAAATGATACAAGTTAAAGGGGCACGTTCCCGCCAGTGTAGTTATCGGAACATGCCATCTGCGTAAGAGTCATATTCTGTTGGTGTCAATAGGCAGCTATAGCACCATCTGCCAGCGCGCACGTATTTTGAACGCCCTCTGGAATACGGGGAACATGCCCCTTTAACTTTGTTCAGTCTCCAAACATAAGATAAACTTGTAGAGAAAGCTGTATTTGTTTGTCAATGTGAAGTGGGTCTGAATCACCCTCAGGCCGGTGATCAAGATTAAACCGTTTACAGTCAACTCCACGGGGAATCCCCATTATGTGGTATATAACCTGTCTGGTATGCAAGCTAGACTGGATTAATGGTGCATTGGACCTTACATGTAGGTCCCACATACTGTGTTTCATGTATGTAAGCATTCCAGTTTGGTGATGTTAATGCATCTTGACATGCGGGTCTACAAGTTTATTATAACGTTTGTAGACCTAAGACGAAAGAAGAAGGTGGTATTCACCAGATCGTATGCAGCCACAAATGCTAACCTTTCTTCATGATACTATCAAACATGGGGCTCAAATTTAAATGACACCAAATTAAGGCTCATTCATTTTATTGCGCAGTATATTAATAGCTGCAAAAAAAAAAGGTTTTGTAAGAAAAACATGTAAATAATGGCTACTGTGAATGGCAACAATTATTCTACACTGTACACATATATTCACTCAAAGTTTTGTGTTATAAGATGAGAGTGTGCAAGAGTTAAAGGAAAGAGAGAGCGAGATAGAGGAAAGAGAGAGAGATAGAGAAAAGAGAGAGAAATGAAGGAGAGAGAGAGAGAGAGATGAAGGAAAGAATGAGGTCTATGATGGAAAGAGAGTTAAAGGTAATACAAAGTTTTGGGAAATTTTGAAAATTGGGTGGATAGTGAATCTTTACAATTTTGATATATTTGGATGCCCCTGTTAATGTATTATAAGCACTGAAAAAATTAGCCCCTAAAACACTTATGTTCTCAAAAAAAATTGAATATAAAAATTTACCGGTGCTCCCGGTAAATTTTTGATAAATTTCAAATAGCGCCTACGGCCGTACAATTGTAGCTGCGACCATGAAAATCTCAGAATATG